CTATGTCACCCTGGGTAGAGTGTCATGATGTCACAGCTCACAGCAACCTCAAACTCTTGGGCTTACACAATTCTCTTGCCTCAGTCCCAAGTAGCTAGGACTACAGATTCCCGCTACAACGCCTGGCTATTTTTGTTGTTGTTGTTGCAGTTGTCATTGTTGTTTAGCAGGCCTGGGCCAGGCTCAAACCTGCCGGCCGGCGCCCTACTCACTTTGCTATGGGCACCGAGCCTTCTCTCTTTTTTTGTTTTCAAACAAAAGGTGTCACATACTTATTACCGCACCAGCTTATTAGTGAAGAGCATATAAACAAAGAGAAAACTCATTTTCCCCATGAAACGTGGCCAACTGTCCAACTGATGACATTTTCAGCTTAATATGGTAAGATGATAATGACCGTGATACAGCATAAGTATGTGCCATCTCATGTGCAATTTTTTGAAGTGTCTCCTCTTTGAATTCTACCTGATTTTATTACCAGTTTTCATTCAAATCCACTGGAGAATGGAATGATTTTGTTTTTGTTTCTTGGCCAGAAATCACTTGATTCTGAAAGTCTTGTGAAAGGACATGACGACAAATGGGACTAATCACACGCACCACAGTGGAGTGGGAAGGGACCTTTCTTCATCTTTATCTCTCCCTCCCTCCCTTTCTTTCTCTCTTCTCTCCTTCCTTCCTTTTTTCTTTCTCTCTCCCTTTCTCTCTCCTTTCTCACTCTATTCCTTCCTTCCTTTCTTCCTTATACATCTGTATTGTCATTACTTACAACAGGCAAAAACTGGAATTCAAACATCATGTTCGTGAATATGGGTGGGTTAAGTCCATTATATCTGCCTAATAGAAAGCTCTGTGGCCTTTTTAAAGAGAGCTCTTCATGCTTCGATGTGGAAGTGCCTCCAAGACATGCTGTTAAAGTGACAGAAGTAGCCTTCTGGAGAGCACAAGTGGCATGTTAGCACTTGTGAAGACAAAAAACTGCTTGTAAGTGCATGGAATGCCTCCAGACAGAGAAACAAGAAATTCATCAGGGAATGCCTCTGGGGAGAAGAAATGGAACAGAGGGGTTTGAGGTAAAAAAGAAATTTCACTTTGTATGTTCTATTTATTTGACTATAGGTTTGTGTGTTTTGTTTTGTTTTGTTTTTTTGAGACAGACTCTCACTTTGTTGCCCTAGGTAGAGTGCCATAGCATCATAGCTCACAGCAACCTCAAACTGAGTGATCCTCTTGTCTCAGTCTCCCGAGTAGCTGGGACTACAGGTGCCCACCACAATGCCTGGCTACTTTTAGAGACAGGGTCTTGCTTTAGCTCAGGCTGATCTGGAACCTGTGAGCTCAGGCAATATACCCACGTGAGCCTTCCAGAGTGCTTGGGATTAAAGACATGAGCCACTGTGCTGGGCCAAGTATGTATTTGTTTTTAACTACAAAATTGATAAAGAGTATAAGAGTCCTGTTTTCTAGTAGGAATGCACTGACCACAGTGTCATTATTTTTACAATGGAGTTTGGAATCCTGGGTCCACTCCCAGCCTGGTGCCTGCCTCAGAGCATGTAACTGACAAGTCACTCTTGAATAGGCTCAGCGCCTATGGCTCAAGTGGCTAAGGCACCAGCCACATACACCTAAGGTGGTGGGTTCAAATCCAGCCCGGGCCCACCAAACAACAATGGCTGTAACCAAAAAATAACCAGGCATTATAGCAGGCACCTACGGTCCCAGCTACTTGGGAGGCAGAGGCAGGAGACTCACTTGAGCCCAGGAGTTGGAGGATGCTGTGAGCTGTGATGCCACAGCACTCTATCCAGGGGGATAGCTTGAGGCTCTGTCTC